CACAGAACCTTATTTTGGGATTAAATGCCCAGTGCATTTATTTTCGTCCAAACAACGCCCTTCCAAATCATTACAAACAAACCTAATTTAGGCAACACCATCTTATAATCAATGTTATTATGCATTAACAATTGTATTATGTCATATTACTTCCATTTTTTTCTTTCATCAACAAGTAGTATGTAACTAACCAGGATCTTATTGAAAAACAGTGTTTCATTTAAATGTTTCTGTATGCTGTACATTGAATATGATATCCTAAATAAATATATTGCAAATAAAAAAATTATCGGCACGATGATGTCATGTGAAATCACAGGTACTTATTCACTGATCTTTTACTTCAGAATTTCAAATCCATAGAACAAAAAAGAAAATGGCGATCAAAGGCACAAGATAAAGTACAGTAAACACAATTTGCTGTATCCACTGTACACAAAAGCATTTTCTAAAATTTAGTTAATTATTAACATACGCACAAACAATAAGTGGGAAACTCCACAATCAACAGAAGGAAATGTGACTCCCGAAAATATTCAATATAATTAAACAAAACATCGTCAACTTAAAAAAAACTTCGATTACACTACCATGTCATTTTCAATTTGATAATGTGGATAGCGCCTATTTAACATTTATTAAATATGGTACGCACCTATTTGACCGAAAGACACGTCATCATTATGTTTAAGTATTATTGGACCTAGCATGACCGGATATGTGTCCTGTTTCAGTTCCGTGTTATCAACACTTCGTTTCATACGCTGGTTACAATAAGACGAGCATCGCCAGTCAGTAGAATTACATATTGACATGTTGCAGTGCAGAAATACCTGTAATATAAATTTTATATTACATTTTACATTACCTATGCCATTTTTTTAAATTACAGGTATCCCTCCAATTAAAGACCACATTTGGACCAGGGTTTTCATGGTCTTTAGCAGCTTTGTTCTTTAATTAGAAAAATAACTATTATTAAAGATAAAAGATAACGTAGGTATCCATTTGTGCCTAAGAAAACAAGTGATCTTTAATTGGAAGAGTCTTCAATTTATTAAATATTGTAAGACCAAAACGATGCAACAAACGTACAAACGATACTGCGTACATTTGGTATTGATGGCAGTTGAAAGTCTTTGATATTAAAAAATATCTTCTACAGTTACCATGGCCGGCGGAACCGGGGGGCCGGGGGGCCCCCCCCCCACTTTTTGGCAAAAAATATATAATGTCTGGAGATTTTTGTATGATCGGATATGCAAGAAAAGAAGGAGGGAAGAAGGAGGAGAAGGATGGGAAAGAGAATGTTTATCCAGTACCCGACCGAGTTACATTTTATCGCAATTCACATTGGCGGATATGGGGGAGGGGGTCATGGGTCCTGGCCCCTCCCTTGGGCAACAAAAAAAAGGGGGTAAAGAAAAAGAATACTAGACCTACCTTTCCAGGACCCGTGAGCTGATTTTTTTTTTCTTTTTTTTTTTTTTTGTTACGTTAAGAAAATTAGAATTTTGAACAACATAAAAGTAATTAAAACACACTTCAAATGTCGGGAAAGCTCATTTCCCGCCATCTAGGAATCAACATTTTCAAGGGGGAGAACCCCTGGACCACCCTTTCTTTTTGGGATTTATCGATTCATGGCAAATAGAATACGCATGCAACTACTCATTTGTTTATGTATGAATACACATATAGAATAAAAAATGAGAAAAATTTACCTGACTGTTTTCAAGAGGGGAGAGTAATTAAAAGACACCTCAGAAGTCGGGAAAACTCATTTCTCGCCTTCTAGGAATCAAAATTTTCCTAGGGGGGAACCCCCACCCTTTTTGGGATTCATCGATTCATGGAAAATTCGTATGCAACTACTCATTTGTTAAAAATGTTTATGTATGTATACACTTAAGGCCTATTTACTGAATAACAATGGTAAAAAAATTATCTGACCGTTTTCAAGAGGGAAGAACCTTGAATTTTGAAGAACTTAAAAGTAATTAAAACATTACGACAATATTTCGTGTCTAAATTCGATAAAACGGCAGTGAAGTTCGCCAAAACCACTAAATTTGGTCATTTTTCAACTCCTTTTTGTAATAAATTCGCAAATAATTCATCGATTTTTTTTTTTTTGGGAAAAGATAAAACTGATCGGAATTTAATAATCATTACAACAATTACAAATTTATAAGTGTAATGTTAACACCTTTATCGAGAACTTAAAAGTAATTAAAAGACACCCCAGAAGTCGGGAAAACGCATTTCCCGCCTTCTAGGAATCGAAATTTTCAC